ACACCATGATAACAATTACTTTGTACTAAGAATATCAAAGATTACTTAATTGTCACATTTTTAAAGTACAATACTATTATTAGAAGCAGTTTTAAATTTAAAAAATTAAAGAAAATCATTTTGGACATATTTTCACTAATTTCTTACATAAACATATAATGTTGCTACACGTAATAGTTACGGCAATACAAGTTTCATAAACGAATATAAAACAGCATTCCAAAATACTTTAAGGTTTCTTTTAAAACTTTATAAATCTAATTCTCTAGACACACGATAAATGTGAATTTTACAAGTCCCACTGGCAGTTTTTGTTCAGTTTTGAATATTTTTCCCTGTTGTTAAAACAAACACGTAGTGGCTTTGATAGTCGAACGCGGTGAAAGTTTTTCAGTTCTCGTCAAACGCTAAACCTTGTTTCGCAAAAGTTTCTAAAAATCCGAGCACAAAATCAGTTTCAACATCCTTATATCAGGAAATTTTATAACATCTCACATAGATATATTCAATTTATTACTTCACCTCTACTTATTAAATATTTCGAAAGTATATAAAGTATATAACATGAATGTACATATTTAATTATATCGAAGTGTCTTTGTGCAAATAGTCTTAAGTCTTACAGTCAGTAATCAAGCACTAAAATTATTAAATATTTTATGTAGGTATATATAGATATATATCGGAAAATTACTTAACAACCAAACATAGCCAGAAGCACAATTTGACAGTATAAATGTGTTTTATTTTATTAAATGTTATATTTCTGATATCTTTGTGATGTTTGAGTAAGAGTATGTGTAATATATTCTAGTATTCTATGACAATTTAAGAAAACGTTGGTGCAGTAGTGTTTGCACTATGACCTAAATGTACATTCCCGACGATAGCTCGTTACGACTATCACAAATGGCTGCGACGATAATATAGCTGGCGTATCTGAACTATATTTAAAATCACCCACCATTTAAATGCGAGGGGAAAATGCATTCTTTATTTTCCAAGACATTTTCATAGCTCCTAAATAAAATACTGTGTAAATTTTTGTTATTTTTTTTCATTTTCAATACTACACTGTTGGGGGATCCGATTAACTTTATGATGGATGAATGTTCAGAGTTTTCGAGTATTAAATTATGCTCTAAAGTTTGAGATTAATCTAATTTGTTTGATAAATCGCTGAGAGTTTAATTACAGAAATACATATTATATTAGTTCATTCAAAAAACTGTTCACAAAAAATTTATACTTGTAAAGATATTGTATTGGTTAAAACAACCTTCAAAGCTAATAGACTACAAAAAGTCTATCTGTTAAGGGGTTCTTTTGCTCCAGTATCTGCTACCCTTTCAAAAGATTGTCATACCAGAGTTGTTACAGATGGTTTTAATTATATTTTAGGCCAATAAAGTGTGAGCTCTAATTGAATTAATGTTTTAAATTTATTGATATCAATTTTAATTTGTCGTGTTGTAGATGTCTACATATGACATATTGAAGTTTACCTTCATGTCATATTGTACTATTTATAGTTCATAGAAAAATTAATATTTTAATAATATCGTTAAACATAATAAGGATTTAATTGAAAATTAAAGATGTATAATTTGACAATACATAGGTGTATTTAGGTATGTAGTCAATAAAGTAAAACGATGATCAATCGGCCAAAACTCATCATTTCGCTTTAGATTTTTGGAGAGCAATCTAAAGGGGCATCGAAATATTTCATTTAATTTGAAAAAGTAAAATTAAAGAAATTCAAACGTTTTCTATCAAACTTTATCGACGTCTGGATTCAATTACTTTCAATAAATGCAAATCTTTACCGAAAGTCGAATTCCAATGAGTCGATTAAACTTTTACCTATTCAATACCAATTCCAATTGAATGTTTCAAAGCGAGATTACCTTTTTAAGACGCGCCATCAAGGTCTTTGTTTATTGATTGTGCTATCTTTGAAGGCAGAAAAATATATTTTCCAATGGTTTTGAGAATAAATTGTACCAAACAAACAAATGTCATTAAATCAAAATAAAGTTTGTAGTTTTCTGAACGAAATATTTTTATATTGAGTAAAGAGTTTTTTTTAATCTACTATTACTACTATCAAACAACTAAGAGTAACTTTTGTTACTCTTTTTTTGTGAAGGGATGAGAGCGTATTTTCTTCACGCTGTTGATAGTGTGTCATGGATTGACACGGACGGATTTCAAAACATACATTACCTTTACATTTTTTATCCAAACTCCGTTTAATAGAATATTAGACGTTTATATATCATTATTTTTACTATTAAGCCAAATAAACAAATTCATTAATTGAAAATGTATTCGTATTTGACTAGCTACATATATCTATAGCTGAAAAGGTATATAATATATATAGGTTTTTTAAAGGTGAGTGCATTTAAGTAAGGTCGAAAATTTTACCTCCAAACCCTTGTAGTATAAAATTTATATTTAAAATTAATTCACAGGTGAATAGAAGCGCGTGATGCCTTCAACAATACTATTAGCAATACAAATATTAACCGTTTCGATTTTCTCATTATATTTATATCCATATCTCACCATTCAAACTATTTTTCATCTCGTCTAACCGTGATTACGGTTCCTGTAAAGTAACCGAAACGTCGAGGATTAAAGTTTTAAAATAATTAAATAACATATAATAATCCGAAAATTTTAGTTTAATGAAATGAGAACTCTTCTTAGATTTTGTTTACCGTTTCCAAATTTTTTTCACTTACAATTCATAAGCAATATTATTATATATCAAAAAGTTCCTTTGATATATACCTTTTTTAACACAGAACAATTTCAAGGTACATTAGTTCTTACTAGTAAATTTTGTTATTATATCTTCATGACGATAACCCTCTGCACTAGGTAAATATGATGTAATTGTAGAAGATATTATTTCTACTAATAGAACGCATATGAAGTAAGAGTGGGCAATGGAATATTCATCAAAGTGCGTTTTGGGATTTTAGCCTTAACTCTAAACCAGAATTTGTATATCGCTAACAATGTTCTTTATTAGTAAAATTCATAAAAGCGCCATCTATCGATGGTTTGTGGAAACAGGAACGAGGGTTAGTGACGAATAAAGAGAAACGATATTTAAATCATTTAATAAAATAAGTGATGTATTACTTTCTTAATCAGAACACATTTTTAAGAACAGTCATTTGCCTTTGAAGAAATAATACAGGAATAAGTAAAAGCCTTTATTAAATGAGATTTCTTAAAACCCGATTGCGACGTCAAGGAATTTTAACGAGCTCATTGAATTCGTGTAACGCAAAGAAAAAATGTATTACGTAAGAAATGTTACCCTCAAATACAATAAGAATAATCAATAAACGATGCTTACATTAAAAGAACGAGCTCATTAAACAAATCCTTGTATGTATGTATATAAATAAAAATTTAAATTATATATATTTAACAATTATACAACTATGAATGCCGAATAGAATTATACATTTTTAAGGCCATACCTACGTAACACACCACTTCACAATCCATAGAAAACATCGGAAGTGTAGACATAAAACTCTAATCTATAAAGCTTTGTTGAAAAAACGGAAAAAAATATATTTATAATCAATAATACATACTTATAAAAAACATTCAATAATTTACATTATATTTTGATTATAATATATTTATAATATATTTTATATTATCTATGTTCAGCCGTAGACGAGTTATTTTTTTATTACAAGGGAAGTTTAAGTACCAACTATTACTTTATAGTAAATAATTGTTAACAATCGTCAGACCATAAACCTCTGCCAATAAACTCATGCGTATCAAAATATATTCCAAATACATTTAAGATTCACTGTGACGTCAGTTCTCTTTATAGCATTAGACACCTAATGTTAATAAAATGTAGAATATTCTAGACGCAGTACATCCTTATCTTTTGTTAGCGTTTAGAAAGGGATAAATGATATTGGATAGCAGTGCAATTATATCTATTCGAAATAACTGAAGATAATATTGAAGTGTTCAATTTAATTATAAAAGTACTTAATTGTAGGACTAGTTTGTTCGAAATTGATCGTTGAGTACACTGTAAAAATATAAAAATGAGTTGTTCGTGCATTTATATAGAAATTATATATAAATTTTGTTCGATACTTGTATTTATATCGTAATACATGGAAAGAGACGAGCGTGGCAGAATAAACATCCGCAATACATCCGCGTTGTGTATTTAATGAATTCCATCAAACGACACGCGACCAAAATGACGTGAAAATGAAAATTGCTATTTTGTTTTTATTGAATTTCATTATAAATAATATATGTATTGTTCGGTAGTGATGGCACCGAGGGAAATTATAAAAACATCTTCTACATTAGACAGTCTAAATTATCTATAACTGTATTTATAATTGCATCAGGTACGTGTATGTAGAAATACTAAGTAAGCGTTCACCGTCCCTTGGAATGAGATAAATCTGTCAGCTTCTAAAAAGAATTCATTATAATGCAAGCTCATATTCAAGAAATATTCATATGTATATTGTTTATAATTAAACAAAACGGCCAGTTTCCTAAGGGATTCTGCTATACGTCTTACAAAAACATAACGATAGCACCTAATCCGATGACATCGGTATTTTAATGGCTAAGTTAAAAAAAACATCGGCAAGCAGAAATCTATTACATCGAAATATGACAATTGAATTATTCTAAAACAATTTTACAAACTACACCAAAAAAAATTAAAAACAAAAACATATATTTCATACAGTATGTAACGAAATACATTTGTTTTAAATATTCTCAAACTTTATATTATAAAGAAAGTTCCTCGCACAAAGATATTCAACAATACACTTCACATAGATATTTCGAAAAACGATTACGTATCTAAGCCGAGTTTAAAACTCGTTTACACGACACTACATCACACATACTTTAATCAAACCGTGAGTCATTTTCCTGTTTCGTTTCAACCTTTTAGGTTGAAAGTAATGTTATCCGTTCGTTAATTCGTCTTTCAGCCACTGTGGTACCGGCCGGCCGAGTCTGACCAACAGTTTGGACAACGCTGTATTATGAGGTGTGTAGTACCGCCTTAAGAATTTAGCGGATCTCTCCTCCATAGGCGGATATATTCTGCCTTTAGACTTGCCCAGGCATTTCGTCTTCTCGTTGCTAACAGCCTGACAGAAGAAACCCTTTTTGGGATCGTATCTGAAAGAGTTAAATGTGATTAGAAATGACTAGAATCTTTTATATGTATGGAATTTATTATTAGATAGGAATTTTTCCGATCGAAATTACCTAATTAAATATTTCTGTGCAGCAAAAGTTAGTATCGGAATTAATAATAAAAAACTAAAACTGTTGGGATACAAAAGATTTTAAGGCCTTAGAAGTGAGAAATTGACACTCATTTTATGTGATCTCAAAACTCATATATTTTTATTTAATAACAAAAACTGATTTAGGTACCTAACAAGTTTATATTTTTTCTAAACTAAGTAACATTGTTCAGTCAATGGTCGAATCAGATAAACACATTATCTTAAATTTGTAGTGTAACAGATGTTATTGGTTTTCAAATAAATTTAATGTTTGTTTATTACTATTACTTCAATAATTTTGATAATAATAGACCAAAAAACAACAAAAAATATTTTAACGATTCATCCGATCATTTTGTACAAATGTAAGTCCAGTATAAAGGTAAAATACACGATCTTGAATCTATTATTTAATACAAATTGTTCTAATGTGACATTTTTGACACCAAAAATAAACTTAAATTTTTCGTCATTAACTAAACAAAAATCAATTTTAAGTTAATAAGAATAAGGTTTATTTCAGTTCGTATGATCTATTCTTTATACAGCGTGTTCTTACTTCAGTAACTTATCGTAGTCGACGTGTTGTATCTTAAGGAACTTCTGTAGTCCATGCATCGCTGCAGCCGGTTCAGATCTCAGTAGTGACCCATCCATCACGTGAAGCTGATGAGGACTATACTCCACTAGCCAACGCTCTAGGTAATGACTGTACTTCCCAGGGTTCAAACAACGATTCCTGTTATAAATAACCTTATAAAATACCTATTCGTATATAAAATTAATATTAACTGCTAAGCTATGTCATATTTCATATATTAACTTCATTATTAGTTATATACTTATATATTGATACATCGATAGGTTCTTTCATTATTTCGTAATGGAAAAGATACAGTTATATTAAAAACGACATTAAATTTAGAGATAACTTGTCGATCTGTATGCAATACTTTTAAACATTTAATCGTTTTATTAGAAGTATTGAAAATTATGTACTTTAAGAATTATTCTTCTCTAAGCAACTTTTCTTTAATTTATTTAAGTCATCTTTATAAGATAAAACCATAGAATACGCGAGAAATTTCTGTAAAATCTTATTTTGCTAAAAATATTCTGGGTATATATATTTCGATAGCATTCTTAAGACTATTTTTTTATATATGAATCTGTTGTCACGATAAAAAATACATTGAAACTCAAAAACAAAATCCAAAATGTAAATATGACTCAACATGTTCGGAAACATTTCAACAATGTTATAATTATAAATTCGCAACAGATGACTTTATAAATAGAAGTATTAACATTTTCATCGCATCTGATTTAAAATATTCGTGCCATAATTTCCGTACATACTGTAATTAAAAATATTGAACACACATATTTTTTATATCAATACATTATGGTTTCCCCTTTCGTGTATTACTTTGGGTTCAATGAACTATAAACTGTGTTAATAGTGCGTGTTGTATTACGTGATCGTTTCATATGTCATCAATATTTAGTTTACAATATTTTTATATCACATTATTGTTAGAATTAAAGTAGACAGACACATTGTAAGGTCGCTTAGAGTAAAATATAACCCCATTTCAGCAATTCAACGTTTTAAACTAAACAGCAAACAGTAGCGAAGTGCACACGTGTGACCTTTGCTCCGGTATTTATGATATAAGGTTAGAGAACAATTGTTCGTGGATCCAGAACGCAAACACTGCAATCATGTGATGGAAAAATATACTTTGTCATACTCCACGTTGATGTTTTACAAACAATTTAAAAAGATATGTATTATATTTTATTATAACAATGGATATATTAGAAATGTTTACGAAAAATAGGATTATCCCTACTAATATTATAAATGTGAAAGTAACTCTGTCTGTCTGTCTGTTACGCTTTCACGCCTAAACCACTGCATTGGTTTTAATGAAATTTGGTACAGAGATAGAGTTGACTTAGAGAAAGAACATAGGATAGTTTTTATCCCAGACTTTTGAAAGGTTCTCTTGGAAACGCGATATAACCGAACTCCACGCGGGCGAAGCTGCGGGTGGAAAGCTAATGTTTAATATAATTTAGTGTATACAAACATCGATAGAATGAAGACGTTTTAAAGGTAAGTATATGTTGCAGTTTAAAGGAATTCCTATATAATATGATTTTAATGTTACCTGAGATCTCTTAATGGCTTCGGAGCTGAGTCGTTGGCTGTGATGATCGTGTGGAAGGTGTAGTTGTTAGCGACGGCATCCCCATGAGAACGGATATGTTGATACCACGAATACGCCCTATGAAGAAACTCGAATTATAGAAGAATATAGCACCTATATCTGGTAAACCTTGAAGCCATATAAAATTTTCGATAGAAGTTTCAAGTACTTTAATCCTGTCATTGATTAATCTATAAATATTCTACATTCATATAAAATTTATTACACAAAAATTGTCATAAATCACTTGGTGTAAATAAAAAAAACTATCAATTTTCTAAATAATTTCATAGAATTTTCTATTTCGATAACTATTCATACGCTACGCATCCGAAAACATTAATTTATTACTTTAGGTCGAACCCAACACAAACTTGAGAAATAAATACTATTGGTAGTGTATTGAAACCATCAATCATATTTAGGAAATTACAAATAACCCGTGACCTTTAACAAATAATTTAGGAAAATGGTCGTTGGACTTTTCTCGTGTAATATAAAAGCAATGTAGTGCAACGGACTAAATTGAATCGGGGGAAGTAATCTCTGTTGGAAAAATTGATGCTACATTTTACATTGTACGAAACATTCTGCTTTATATTTTCAATATTTCATTCTATAATCAAACAAATACACTAAGAATACGGAACGAATGTAGGTTGAATGGATGAAACACAACGATTTACTAATAACAACGCGAGTTATTTATATATAGAAAAAGGCGACGAAATAGTCTTATGAGAAATATGGGACAGCGGAATTAGTTCGGTAGCATTAATTGCCTGTTTAGTGAATGATACAGTGGAACCAAATTAACCGGCCGTAATGCGGTACGATACTAATTTCCTACAGTTCCCTCAAATGACCTTTTTTTTTCATAGCTGTTCGTTAGCCCGGTTATTTATATAGCTATTTACTTGAACCTGGATTACTGACGGAGAAAGAAAATTAACTATTTAAACCCCGTCCTTTGATAGGAACTCTGATGAAAGCTTTATATTTTCATCTATTCAATGTAAAATGTATTTTTACTAAATGGTATGACTTAGATTATTTTATAAAAAATTAAAATTATTAAATCTTATAAATTTCATAATATAAAATCATGGATACTTTAAATAATTTAAACACAAGAATAAAAAACGTGAATTAATCCAATGCATGAGATATTTGAGTAGATAAAATGAAAACTCGAAAACCTATAAAGTATTTTTATGTAAAAATCTTACATATATAATAAAAAGCAGAATGTTTTTTACATATGTACATGAAGTATAGTTTAACTATAAAAGTTTTCATGAATTAGTATTTAAACTAATTAAAATGTTTTGAGAAATATAACTTTATTACTATTACTTATTATTAATTATAATGATAATAATGATAGGTTTATATAAATAACATACCTTTTCGATGGCGATATAAGTATGGCGATTATCTTGGCGTTTGGTAGCAGAGCGTGGGCGCGTCGTGGTACCAAATCCCCATCGAAGTAAGTTGCTGACTTCTCAAAAGTTATCTGACTGCCATTGTTTTGGCTCGGAGGGAAGAAATTTAAGTACCTGATAATGTTTTTTAATGAATAGTAGATAATTTTTCTTAAGTTTGTAGAGTTAATGAAATTTACGAGTAATTATTAGGCCATTTCAATAATGAGAAATTGATAAATCAAAACAGTCTCGCTTCAGTTGTATAGTGATACATAATTAATAATAAAGTTTAGTTTTGTTCTATTGTTTTAATAACAGCTAACACTGTGAAACGATGTTTTAAAACAAACTATTAAATATATTATCCTCTTTAAAACAAGTTACATAATGCAAGCATTGTGTAAACTCAAAAATTATTCACTAGAACGCAACCTCAAATTTTATAGTCTCTGGTAACGCAAAATTTTTATTTTATAGGACAAAATAAAATCCGACGTTTAAAAATTTTACAGCATTCCCATTTATTGAAAGACATAAAAGCACTTTTGCCAGATAGCGACGATACTAATCAAATACTCGTGGCCAGAAAACGTCGATTGATATACATAAAAGTGTAAGTCAGAAAGTATTACTCTTTTGGTATCGATGAAAATGTTTTACGATTATTCGTTTCAACAAGAAATCTATCGAATATCGATGATTATGAATGTTAAGATTGCGTGCACATCCCTTCATTTCCAATATCAGTTCTCATGCGAAAGGTAAGCCAACAAATTGTTACATTTGAATTCAATGTTCGAACCTCGAACGATTCCTATTACAATGTTAAACTGCTCTTGTTCTTGTAATGTATGCAGTATGTAATCAACGTACATAGATGAGTTTAACGGATGGCTTTGTACTTCGATATTGTATTTAAATAAAATCATAGTATATAAATAACTTGAAACATTGTTTTTATATGTAGGTCAAATAGAAAATAAGAAATATTACAAGCGCTAACTAAATGGTTTATCTTGTTTTTGAAGTCCCCAGAGCTGCGTTATACTTTATTATAAGTTTCATTAAGAACAACACGAAAGAACTAGTTTGAATTTAATTCAATTGAAATTGATAATACTCTGAACAGAACAATAGAAACACAATGCTATAGTTTTTATGACTCCTGAACTACACGACACTAAGCGACAATGTACCAACGTGATATATTATCTCCCTTTATAAGCGGTCGTAACTGACAAAGTTCGACAAGAGGAAAACTCTGAGATACATTGTGTACGAGTCGAGTAAATCAGCACGATACAAATTGCTGTTTGACGTGTTACGTAGAAAAGTTGACATCAGAATTGTAAGCCTTTTATATTGTACGGGAACTCGGATATCAGTCAACCCTGACGCCGTCAAAGTATGATTCGACGCGTTATTCCATTTTTGTAATCAAATTCGGCAGTGACAACTTCAGCACTATATCCAAAAACGAACTGAACTATGTATCGTACGTGCCATTCAAATATTTGACATCAAATAAAAGATTTATTTGTATTGGACGTTTAACACACACACACAACGGTACACAAATCAAGTCTACAATGTATGCAAACAAGAAAGTCGACATTGATAGAATGCGGTTGCAACATTTGGACTGTACTAGCGTCACTATTTCACTACTTCTATTCCGCGATTAATTCAAAGTCTTACGTGTGATCTTGATACATATATGTATATATATATACATACATACATATATATGTATAATTTTTGATACTCTTCATGGTTAATCTCTTTCGTATATTTGTGCTTTTCCTTATATGAGGTATTTCTAACTTATATACAACATTTTAAAACAACGGTTACAACTGTTATTACGAAATAACTTATTATTGTACATGCTGTACATATGTTTAACAACAAATAAAAAAATATTTTGGGCATTTAGAAATATTAATAGAATTAGGAATTTACATCTTATAAACAAATATATAAAGCAAACGAAACGTGATGAAGTGAAGTCTTAATCAACATGGTAGTAAATGAAAATACTTAACTTTTATTAACGAACAAGTTTTTAATTACTTATGAAAATGGCAAAAAAATATTTTTATGAGACTAAAAACAATTTTCTTTCAAAGTTACATTTAATCATTTTTGTTGTATTTTAATAAGTTTATTACATTTACGGACCATAATTAATGAAACTCGGCACGGGTGTAGCGTTACAATAATGCGTCATGAAGCTTATATCTAGAGCACGTGAGCATTTTGATATATTATTCAAGAGCACAGTCAACTTGCACGTAAAACGAGCTATTTATCTTTATTGTACACTGAAAAATGGTTGAACACTGAAAACCCTGAGCACGTCGTCAAGATATGACATTAAAGATTCCGAAATATTACATTCACTTTCAGTAAAACGCAGATTATGATGTTATACAAGGGAATTACTCGCAACAAATGTTTACCGTTTTAAATATATCAAGTATAAAAATATATTATAATAATGTACTAATTTAATGTAAGATACGATTACAACATATACTAACACAAACAAAATATAAAGCGGCTTTTGAAGTGTGACAGATGTATTAAGATGAATATCTAAAGACAAAAATACTCACCAATCTAATCCTTTAAGATAATTGTTATTGTTGAAGAACTGTAATTCTTCGTACGTAGTCGGACTGGGTAGGTTCGGCACTAGTGCTGGATGCATTGCAAGGAAAGTATATAAGGCTGTGCTTCCCGTTTTCTGGGGACCTATTACCAAAACCTTAGGTAACGTCTCGCACCATTTGGATTTCGACCAAATTTTTCTATGACGGATGTCATCACATGGGTTCTGTTAAAAAAATCATTGTTAAATTCCATAAGACATACTATTCGTTCTAATGAAGCGTTAGAGTGTATTTGAAAAGCATTTACATTTTAATAATGTGAGCGAAAATTACACACATGTGTGTGTTGACACAAAAACTCCAAATTAACGATGAATCTATGATTAAAAAAAAATATTCTAACAAAATATCAAATGAAAAACACAAAAATAAAACTGTAAAGCAAATAGTTACAATATAAAAATGTAATAACATATCAAAAACCTTTATAAATGACGACTTTTAATATGTTGTAAACGTAAAAACATATCTCTTCAGATATTAATCCTTTGTATTTACCGTGTACGAAAAACCGACACACTCATACTCTGTCCACAACGATGATCAGATGTGTGAAACACCGCGGGAATCAATTTTATAAATTTAATTAATGAAAAAGCTTTATATATATTATTTATTTGATAAAAAATATTCTCACATTTCCTATAATTGGTAAAACAGAAAAGTACTATACAATTTGTAAGATAATTCATTATGAAAATTAAAATAATACGTAACCATGATTTGAGATAATATTGACAAGCAATACGATATTGTCTGAAAATATTTGATTTCCATTCGAAAAATTAAAACATTTTCTCAATATATAACTTTTAATTTAAATATATTAGTATATTAAAATAAATAAAATTTATGAACAAATAGATCGCGACCTATATAACAAACGACCTACATGGTTACAACACTGTGAACACAGACCTGTCATTCGTATAGACGCTAATTATTTCTGAGTTTTAGTACATTTTATTACGATATAAATTACAAAAATATTACAATGTTACAATATTTTTCATAGGAAACTCAATTCGAAGTAATTAAAGCGACTTGCGTTACTAAAACTACTAATTTGGTTTCGTATAATTCAACTATGGTGTGATATTTGTATAAGTCATTTTAATTTATTGTATGAATATTCAAATAGTACGGGGTCCTAACAATGATCACTCGCTGTGTTATAACAACCACTTAATATCTGAACTCCTCTATTAATTTAACGCAATATTTATATGAATATTCAGTATGGAAAGTCATTTCATATTTAGTAAATATATTAATGGTTGCATAAAACAATTTCTTATATAAAATTTCTAAATAAATGTCCAGTAAGAATAAGACAGCAGTAAATTAAATAGAACAATTTGTCTTGCGATTGTTGTGGGGAAGCTCGGTTTTTTGCTAAGCTTTTGCTATTTTTTTTCGACCGACCTGCCTGAGAGATTCTTACTTAAAATATTGTTTGTTATCTGAGGCAAAGCGAAGATATTTCTAGTCTAAAAGCTCGACTGCATTATTATAATAAATCCGCAAGAGAACAAAAGCATTGCTATAAAAAATGTAGGACGAAAACAAATTTTAAATATAATAAATGTAGTATCTAAATGGAACTATAGCTAAGCAAATAATACTCACCCCCCATAGCGGGTTTAATTCGTCTGGTCTCAGTTGGAAGTATTTTTCAGCTAGTGACAACGGTGGCGCCGATGCTAGACGCACATTCGTCCAACATCTTAGAAACTTAACGACGGATTCAAACGTGTACAACGCAAGACGATCGTTCCCATAGTTTGACATATGAGTCATGAAAACGTTGATCTGTTAAAAAAAAAACGTAACAATATATAGTGACATATTCTTATATTTATGTTATAAGCTATATTTATGTTATAAGCTATATAAGGCACAATTTAATACTTAAACAATTTGTCAAATTCAATTTGTTTAATAAACTCAGTCAGTAAATATATAAAATAACTTAGATTGATAGATCATTCAAATTGTTCCAAACATTCCTATAACAGAATTTAGTGAATTCAGTTTGAATATTTTAGGAATGTCGCCTAAATTATATCAACAATAGACTCTATACTATACTATACTACTATCAATTTATTATTCTTTCTAATAGATCCGCTCATTAAGTTTATTGAAATTAAAAACCGCTTATCTTTTAAAACGCCTTTAGCACAATGGAAAATAATTATCATTCCGAGTATAGCACATTCATCATAGCTCACTTGAATAGAAAAAGGCCGTGCTATCGACATGCGGATTGAGTAAAGTATAAAGCGGTTCTGTGCTTACTAAGTTAACCATCAATGGTTCTAACAATGCCCTCAATGGAAATAATGATATTCTCATATAAATTACAATATTACGACGGCACAAGTCTTTTCCGCTTCGTAATATTGTTGAATTTCTATCTAGATAAAAACAATTGGATTAAAATATATACATTTTAACACACATTTATAGATTTGTTATTTAGAAACTAATCGACTATTAATCTAAATAACCCAATAGGAATATCAATTAAATCAATTCCTTGATCGTAAACCGTCCAAAAATTCCTATAACATAGCAAGAGCGTCTATGTCTTGTAATTGGAGAGTCAAAGGCTGCCAGTAAATTGAACACGATGTTATTGATGGCCATTTAGAACACTCGGACCTGTGAGGTTTGATATTGTCAACGAAATAATGCTACAGAACGATTTGAGTTTAACTTTAAAATGCTTTTGAACAAAATAAAGTTTTATATGAACTAACATTAAGCCACACAATTAAAGTTAAGTAATAAATGTATCATTGTAATAAATACATTCCATTATTAGAATACCCGATCATAGGACATCGATCAATTAAAAGGCTACGTCCATTAACATGGAAATAGCACTAATTGGTTTTTGATTACACATTGAATATTTAGATTTCTATATGTGATAATATTTATATCACGATAAAAATGTCAAACTAAACGCTGACATTAAGTTATAATGAAACGAAAATGATTGGTGGATAGCTTAAAGAATTCAATATATGGACGAATTTTATTGGTTATTTTTTATGTTGGATAACATTTGTTCAGTCATTATATAGAAGAACAATTATAACTCAGCCCCACATGAAATTCAACTGTACCAACTACGACATAATAATCACAAATTATTAATGACTTTTCACAAGCTACTTATAAACAGACGATGAAATATAAAATACATGAGAATTAAGAACATTCTAGAACTCATAGAATTTGAATGTTAGAATTATATATATTAAAACGTTTATTTATTACTTTACATCATTATATACACTGAAAATGATAAACAATTCTTTTTTTCCGTACATCTTTCCTTACTTAATCTCAAACCAAATTTCCCATCGGGCATATAACGGTTGTTGCCAGTTTTCAAGGATGTTCCCGCCATAAAACTTGTTTATCGCTACCACAAGCATTTTGTAAACGTGTGTGTATTATTGTTCCTTAACGCTGAAAGACCCATACAGAATATTGTATAGCCATAAAATATAAACCGATATCCTGAGTTATATGAATTTACTTATACATACAATACAATGTATAAAAAAATACTTTATTGTGACCGAACTGTCGTATATACATACATAATACTATAAATGAGTATTAATGTATCGCAATCTACAGTTTCAAAGAAATTTCGTACATACATATACTTATATAAGATTAAAATTTATTCAGCACATTCTAAAAACGACCTTACACCTATATAAATAGGATCTAAACTTGTATAATACTCACCGGGTTGTTAATAACTGTCTGGAACAATTCTCCGCCTTGTATGGAGCGGTCGAGACGCTGTCTACCTCCTGGATATCTCTCCAGAAGAAGTGTATGAGTGAAAAGACCACAGGTCTGACGCGGTAGTACCATAACACCGCGGTGACGAAAACCGCGGCGCAATCTAGTATAAAAATAAAAAGTTATAATATCTAATAATATTAAAAGATTTTTATATATCGAACATAATTAGACCGAATATAATACTAAAATTATCAAAAATACTTAATTTAAAACAGCATGATACAAAAAATACACTCAAGATAAAGCAGTTTTTCAGTCGTAACCTGTACAAGTCGTGCAACTCAAAAGCATTTATTAACATTATTTAACTTAAACAGCGAATATAAAACAAGTACTTGATTGATTTAATTATAGAGTAACTTTTCTTGTTCATTTATTGATCACCCCTTTAGAAGACTCGCTTATAACCTCTCTTGTCAAATTGGTTTCAAGAAATTTTGTCTATTAAATATAATTTGACTCAAAAATATTGATTTAATTAAGATTTAAAAAAACAATTGCATATTACTCACTTATCTTATCATAGTTTACAATTTTGTATTGCTACTCGAAACTACATACATTTCATAATTGTTTCTACATCAAAGTCTTATTTAAATGAACTACAGTCGACATATTTCATTTTTATTTAGAAAAATATATCTTTATGTTAATAATATGAATGACTTCACATTTTCTTTTATGACAAAAATATATATTTTTTATACGACTCGACAAAGTCATACATAGTATGTTTACTCATGCACCAAGTTTTCTACAATCCGAATGTAGAATAACCATACCACTGTACTTGTTATGCACATTCATTTAAATAGCAAAGTAAACATCACATACAAATCTACGATTAGCATTTTAACTCAAACTGACTTATAAGAGTTAAAAAAGCTGAACCAGAACATATTTATTCTAGAAACAACATCGGTTTTATAGCAAATAAATTACATAACAGGTACATATATTAATTTCCATATATTTTGCTAGGAAAATTTATATGAAAATGGTTGAATAACGTTCTATATCTGAGGACAATATTGCTTATTCAAGTATCTGTATAGGAATGCGCTCGATGTGAAGTGTGGCGTCGCCGCAATGCATCGCTTGCGGTCAATAGGAGTTTGGTAACCACAACACCGACGCCACTAACAATTCCAATACAAGTCTACCGTGGATATATCCAATCAAATACGAATATACCCACTCAATATGGAAAGCTTCTAACAGAAGCATTTTAATTTACTAAAAATTCTAATTTATAAGTCCCGATAAAATGTAAAGAACGATTTTAATTTGATTTAACTTCCGACATGAAATATACATAGATATAGAAAAATAATTTCGAGTGATCACGGCAAAGGTGATCTTAGAGCCCGACAAGACCAGATAGAATTCGATTACATTAAGTTTAATATAATTTTCATGAAAAATTGAAATCAAAAAAGATTTTTTGCATGAACGTAAGACAGTTGTCCGTAACCTAATATGACCTCCATAAAATATTAAGGGGTCCTCGTTAATAATGTACCCTCGATCCTTTCCAATATTCTAGATTTCCCAAAGCTACTTCGCAAAATTATCGTACGCTAGGTGTCTTGACACAGGAATATTTACCAAGAATTCAATAATGAAAACATTTGTTCCAACTTAGAGCCCAATATACGCAAAGAAAATTTTTACCGAACATTCATCGTATTCACGATCGATCTTCTTTACTCAACATCTAGAATTTCAAATATTTTGTCAAATAACATTTTCATTTTGAACGTTACATTCATATTAAGATAACGTCGTTTTGTATAACAGCTTTATCAATAAGTTTCTGTACGTAACACCTACTATAAAAGCATCGAACAAGTGTGTATGGAAACATGAAATAGCAACTTTGTATCTCGATACAATATAGGAAATCATAAACAACTTCGCTACGGTCGAATACCGTGGAAATTCAATTTAATATCGTCTCCATGGTTGCACTTAAGGACAGACTGTTTGTATTAAAGCAGTTCTTTGATTCGCATACAGATATGTATATAATTTCATACATATTTAGAATTAGAGTTATATTTAAATGATTAGTACTAACCTAGCTGGTCGTAAATGAGGATATTCTTCAGTACTGGTGACCTTGACATCCCATACTTTCCTCCAAGCTTCATACAATGGCTCGTGAACAGGATACACTCCAGAATGGTGAGGCGACACCGAATAACACGAATTAGTAGGAATACCGTGCTCCAGAGCGAATTGCTTGTTCAACATCATCTCGGCTTCTAGTTGGGACACATTGTTGTACAAATGGGGCTGTTGGTGATTCCACATATGACAGAACCTTTAAACAAAAACATTACACATATTATTCATTAATTTATGATACAATTTTCATATGAAAATAAATATTACTATACCAGTTGAAGTGCTCTCTATTCTTTAAGAGCGCGTCATCTCCCATATTTTCAAGTAGCGTCCCGTGGTGATAATATTTGGCACTGAAGCCAAGGTTGAACCTGAAGCCTGGGACAAGTCGTTGTAAGGCTGTCTGAGACGCCAATAGCGCTGACACATCTTCAACGTGGAGACGTGTACCTAAACAAGAAAAAAATTGTGAAAAAAATTTATATCACGTATTCATTGCACCCTTGTAATTTTACTTATAGTATGGAAAAAACCGATTGTTGACTCAAACTTATTATTGATAATAAAGTTACAAAATAAATATCTGTGTTCTTTAACCACGACAGAGCAGTTTTAATCAAACAGTGGTCAGTAGATGATACCAAAAACACTGTTTCTGAAACTTGAAAAAGCTTGAAAACAAAAATCATAAATATAAGATGAAAATAAAAATCAATTATCGAAACGATCAACGCGAATACAGACATCTTGGACATTAATAACAAAGAAATAATTACCGAAATAATTTATTTCCCTCATATTGGAATCCGATAACATTTAATTAACGGAGAGGCCCTCGTAAAATACGAAAAAAAAAATGAGACGAATAATATCACATTATACAAATGTTGTTTCGTTTATCCAATGATTGTTGTGAGCGCTCTGTATGGAGCTGTTTTATTACAGCGGACTGCAGATTAATACAAATTGAAATGTATAAAATGCGGCATGCTTTAAACTTCGACTGAGAATTGACACGGGTAATTGATCTTTATATCATCTATTAAGTTCGCTTAACAATATTTTGCTTGGTAAATTTCAACTGTAAAAATTTTCTGAACATGTAAACAGTTTAAGCTACTCTAATATAAAGTAGACTTCAGACACAGAAGGGTATGAAGAGGGAATATGGATGAGATTTTTTTCTAAACTAAAGCAGAACGGGACAAAAAGTATTAGACCGCACAGCTACCTGATAATATGGGATAAAACAGAACCGGTCACGTACTCTAGAGGGGATCGCTCCTGAACAAATACCATTTCACACGCTCCAATGTATTATAGAAAATAAAAATGTAAAACCTTTCAAATACATAATTTATTAATGGAAAAATTTTTCGCAACAAAGCCATAATATGAAACGTTGGATAGTATAGAATGTCATAAAATATCTCGGACGGCGTATAAATTTTAATAGTACAAAAGTTTATTACAATCCTAGAGAGTAAAATGCTATTAAGAGTTCAACTTACACATTTAAACTTAACACAAAATGTTAAAGTTATTTCAAGTCAAATTTATTATTCTTTCTTAACCTCATTTGTTATCTTTAATACGTTTCTTAATCTGCTCTCTTATTGGAGAGTCATTAAATAAAAAGGCCATAATCTTGCTTCTTCATAACATTTTTATACAAATATTTTATTAAAAATTTACATCTAAGTCTTTGGTTAATATGGTTAACAATATAAAGTCAATAAACCATTATGTATATTCAGTACATTAAATAGAACAATACCATAGTCAAATTGGAATCGAAAATGCAATGCGGATAGCACTTGTCAAAGGATTAGTCGATGCGTATAGATTACACAATAAGTACCAAATATTTGTAAAATTTGAATAATAATAAATAATTCAACGACTGTTTTAATTTTAAATCACAAAGTAGAATTCAAATGATTAGATCATCTTCGTATGGATATAAGGGTTATCAATGTAATCGAATGTTCCTCGTTCAACGAGGTCATTCCAGATAGTCCATCGCTACACTCTGGTACTAAGTGAGCTATTTTCGACAGCTGATATAACGTTTTGTCGCCATTTTGAGCACATTAACGATGTAGGATGGACACCTTGATGGCTTTTAACTCGTTTAGTGATAGATTTAGCTACGAGCTGCTAGCATTACTTTCTTACATATACGGATTATAATACTCCCGCAACGTCGTTAATTTTTTGGCTGCATTTTTTTTGATTTAATGACTCTAAATCATTCGTTTTATAAACCATACAAAAATATTAATAAATAATAAACACATGTATATGTCCAAAATATGTTTTTTTTTATAAATCCGAATTTAAATATCCATATAATTTTTTCGTGATGTTGATTTTATTTTGGGATCTTTATGCAATGAAATAAAATGGTAATATTATGAAATGGCCGTCCCATTTTTAAAAGAATTTTATGTGTAAACTTTTCTTTCGTCAGAATCGGACCTACAGGAAGACGAAGAACTGTGTAAAACAAAAATAAAACATTGCATTCTTTCTCGCCTTCAAGAACTCCGTTATAAATAAAAATAATAATAGCTTTTTGAGTGAATTGAAGAATAAAATTGATAAAGCAAAGGAAATCACAGAATTCGTAATCAGTTTATATTGAAATAATTGTCATTACATTTTTTTCCTCATAGAATAAATATTTCTAGATAGCATTTGTTTCAACCTTTTATGAGACAAATGTTTTTCATATAATAAAAATACTGTCACATTTTTCATATATATTTTCTATAAATATTACGAACAAAATGATATAAAATCATTTAACTTTATAATAGGCTAGTTCAATAAATAATTGATCAATCACTCATTATTCATATTAACAGTAATTGAAAAATCTTTTGCCCATATAAATATTTATGAATGTAGATCTACTGTACGTTTTATAATTTAATTAATAATTTCATATTAATATTATCACTTGTAAAATTGTGGTACGCCATATTCGTATACAATAACCACGGACTTGTGCCCAATTGATAAATAAAACGCATAATATAATATTAATAAAACATATGCAGGTTTAATTATCATTAACGTATGAACGTATTAAAAATAACACTAATTGCCTACAGCGAAATATAATAATTATTTTTATATAAATTATACAGTGTTCAAATGAAAAGTACTTTATAAAAATCTTCAAAATGTCTTATATATATGAAAAAATTATCAGAGGATTACAAATACCTAAATAATATCTAAGTACAGTCTATAGTTAATAAATATATAAACGTAACAAATTTAGTTATTGTTTACCATTATCATACATTCCCGTCAAAATCAAGATATTATCTCCAAAGTGTCAAACCATTTACAAATTAAACTGATTCCATTACGTGGTCACAAAAAATCTATACACAATATCTTATATAACTGTTTTAAATACAATCTTAATTCAATACATATACTGACCTCTTTCTCCTACGAAGATGTCATCTATATCCACTAGTATCCATCTGTCCAAACTGAGGCTGAGCTGGCCATGGCTGAGATAGCTCAGGGCATCCAAGAACAGGATCCTATGAAGCCAAAACTGAAGACCAGACCCAAACAACACCCTCTGTACTCCGTCCAAACGACCATGATCCTGAACTACAGTCGCTAAAGGGAGACGTTCCTCTGTTGACAATATTTATAAATAAATTAATACATAAACAAAAACCAATCAAAAATTACTTGGAGCCGTACATATTGGTACGTTTTTCTTTTCGCATTCACATGTAATATATATGTATGTATTAAGAGCAAAGCATCAATAAGTTGAGAAAAGCTTAGATATATTCATTGCATAATTCTCACATGTATGTAAATATATATTTTTTTTCATTTTCCACATCACACAAATAGAGAGATATTTATTTTGTCAAACAACGCTGTTATAAAAACGTATTATTGAAACGAAAAAAAAATTATAAGGATTGTGATAGAATAAAAATATATGAATAAAAATGAACATATAAAAACATAGTATATAAAAACAATTCATGAAATGATGGTATAAAAAAATATATAACCAGACGCTAAAATGTTTCTGTTGGCCGAGCTTGTTTGTTCTTCACGGAAATGACCGGGATAACACAGAATGAGAATAATTCCGAGAAATCTTTTGGGTCCGGAATAAATATTGGTACACGATACAATCAAGAGAATACGTTGGATATACATACATATTACCAACTATTATACGTGACAGTGCTTCCTAGAAACTGTGTTAATAATTTTCACCTGCACATTAATGAAACATGTTAAATATGAACTCATATGAAACACTGTAGTGAATGTTTTGCGATCTTATTCATGATTATTTGTGAATTAATATCGTAATTAATCAGTTTCTATGAAAATTACGTTTATTGTTAAGAATAATTATAATGTTATATACATTACTATAGAAAACGAATCATGTTTTTTCTAAACTACCTAACTTTAATAAGTAAAAGAACAAAGTTAAATAAGGGAAAAAAATACACAATTTAATAAGAATCGTAAAATGCCAGAAGGTATGATAATAGAGAACATCAATTTGCGTATTTTTATAGTCCACAGAGACCGAGTTCCCTTTGACATAATAATTGTATTTTATTGAACCAGCTATCACTTTAAATAGGTAATTTTATATCCCACACTAGAGGAAAGGGCTCGTTCCGGTTATTCATCCAATAAGATGTTAAGTTGAGGAAGGTCATAAACTCGACGGCCTAACCAAATATGTGAAGCATGTAACTACACAGACTCCCACACGCTCACGTTATACGAGTTTTTTTAAATCTAATTTGTGACTTATTCCCATGTGAATAAGGACAAGTATTCAATTTATATTTAATATTATATTTTATTAGACAATAACTGAACAATGAGGCGGAGCGAATTCATTTGACCCGTTAATAGGTCTTGTTCAAATGTATTACGGGGCAGACAAATTGGACGGCATCAAATAAGCCGTGAAACTATAGCTAATAATCGTATGGGACATATATATATATATATAAATAATAATAAAAAAGCATTTTGTGCATTCGTAGAGCGTACATTTAAAAATCCATAATAATTTCCAAGAGTCCAGGACACGTGTGATGAATAATTTATAATTACTCTTAATATACGAGATTAAAAACAACGTATTGGTTCACAATTTAACTTGTAATACATATTGGTGGGAATGTTCTACATTCGACGTTTCCACTATCATGATATGGTAAAAATATAAAGTATGAAACATTCGACGGTTTCAATTAATCAGGTGACGTGGAAGTTATGAATAATTATTTATTGTTGAAATTATATAATTAAAGTGTATTTCATCGTCATAAATTATAATGCTATGAAATTTTGATGGAATCGACTATTTTTTTGTATAGATCGTATCTGATCTGATGTCAATATTAAAGTAAGTTATTACTTAGTGTGAATGATCTAAGGGTCATTCTTGGTACTAATGGCGCTTAGTTTTATTATTCAGATCCCGTAAAATCCGGAATCCACGTGATGTCATCGATACCAATACTACGAATATTATATACAGAGCTCGCGTGCAGCATATTTATTATGTTTTTTTGTGAATATAAACGTATTTCACGCATGTGTGACAAAAGAGTTCATGTTATTTTGGATTCGGGAAACAAAATGTACGCTCCATATTCGTATTCGAATTTCTGTTTTGTTATGAATGCATCGATAAATATAGTGTTGTATGATGAAAGGTGATCAGGTAAACTTACCGTTGGAGCCGTACTCGTTCTGTCTTAGAGCCCATGCTACTGGTTCGTATGTTGAGGAATTGGCTCTGAAGACGGTCCAATGATCGCCTGGTAGAGGACCCCAGGCCGTCTCACCAGCTCGAGCAAGTCGGAGTACGGGTGACGCTGGATTAAGGGCTGCATCCTAATAAGGGCGAAAAGCATTTTTGACACACACTTTCACTATAATCAAGAATGCATTCACAGCTTTGTGTTTTTGTCAGCATTTTGATTTAATATTTCCTTTTGGTTTACGTAACTTTCTGTATGAAAATTTCTAACGAATTTATATCCTACTATCATAAATTAACAAAAACAACAAGTTCTGGAAATAGGGTGTTAAACAACTGTTGTACAGGCCTTTTTATTTACTTTTACCTGTTTGTTATAAAACTAGCCTTTATTTATGGATCATAACGAAATTATAAGTAGTAGACAAGAAATAGCCTGATTGTTTTTTTAAAGTTATCATTAACTACTATAACAAAACTTATATTTAAGTTAAACATTAGAAAGCTGTTATAAAGTTATGATAGAGGTTATTTAAGTTTAAACGAGGCTCGATAATGTAAGCGACAATACGCTGCACAATAAATTTTAATTTACCTTAAGCCTCAGATTGGTATGCATGAAGAGTGGAAATCCTCTCAGCTGAGCGCCAACAAGGCTTTCCTCCCCCGGTGTTGCGAAAGCGACGACCCCAACCGAGTATTCTCGACAGTATTTATCGAGAAGTTCACGATTCCATTTATCCATGTTCGCGTATTTCGATAGCGACTCGAACACGATAACTCCATAACGGCCCTTATCTAAAGTGGTAAGCACTGGCAGACTCTTACCAGCTACTTCTACTTTGTACCTGAATAAGAAACGAATTATAATAAAACGTTTTGAACTTATCATGGTACTGGAATATTCAAACCACCGCCAACTTCCATTTAATGAATAATGAGATTATCAGATTACATAGATTCCCTTGTTCCTAAGTAATCATGGTTAAGCGTAAGAAAATAAATTACAATTATTGCCTAAATTATTAACGTCTCTCGATATAGAATGTTAGTTAAAGGTTTCATTAACCGTAGAAGACAAGACTTGGCGCGAATAAAATTATTAATTTTTCTTACTTTTGTAATTTATATTTATATATATAATTTGGTTATAATTTTTCTTAATACGAGAGGGACAATTAGTTCTGCTAAGAAAGTTAAAAGAAGTAATTAATTTTACATTTATAAAACAGTTTAGGTTCGTAATAGTACAAAAACCTTTAATCCTATATAAAAAAAACAAAGCAGTAACAGAAGATAATTGAATATGTAAAATGTGAAACCCACGCGACGTTTAAACGTATTTTACATGGAGATCAAAATTACATTTACATCAGATGTGTGCCTCACATTGTGTATGGTTTGTTGGTCCGGATATTACGCCCTCGAGACTAAACGAATCAATCAATTTGGACAAATGAGGAACCGTCCGATTATTATTGATCAACCGGGGCCGATCGACACGAGTAATGTCACAGATAGGTCTAAATGACGTCCAATGTATATCATCAATGACAACACGAAAAAATCCAACACAATATATTTATTCAATACCCTTTGATCTAACTAAGTCTAAATCTAACTCTGAAACACTACAAGTGGAATAAATTTCTTTAAAAAACGACTGCTTCGGACTGAATTCTATTTGAATACTTTTTGTTTCTCACAGGGTTCTGCATTTACAATGGGTTTCATTGGAATTAATAAGAAACATTTAATTTTAATACAGAAATAACAATTGTTATGTAATCATTATTTATCAAGCCCTTCAAAAAATAATCGTTTAAGATAACGATAGCAGAATTTATTCTGTTTATTCGGCTATAGTAAAAAGTTCTTTCGTAATATTGTTTTTATATTGGGTATCATTGATGTTTTATGAACATATGCCGAGTTTTATTTTAAACATTTTATTTAGAGTTCTATCAAATAACAGTATTATTTTAACAGTAAAAAAATAATATATTTTTTATTATCATAGTTATAGAAAGTAAATACGGGCTGCCGAATGTCCTTTGTAACTGGTAGGCTTTGACTGAGCTTATGAATAAATCACAATAACAAATATTATTCATAGTCATTTTGTAATACCGGTAAGCAATGTAACTCAAAGATAAAAATCATTCAACGTTGCAGGTCTCTTGAATTATTTTAATTGAATAACATCAATTTATAACGCCGATGAAAGCCAGCAAGGCGATACAAGTTTTCGAATAATGCAAACATAAATATACAACTACCAACCAACAGGTACAGAAATGAATCCAAATATAGAAAAGCAACCGTTCATTTCGCCCGAGTCCCGTTTCAATTTGGCAGTTCGAGTGTACACTAAGGGTATGGCAAACGGCAACTTGCAAATACCACTTACCTTGCCTTGCCGGTTCGCCTTTCCAGTTACGTACGTACGTTATTTTCGATGCACTCTTTTCCATTTTGCATACCTACTTGTTGGCTAGGTTGGCGGACCATCGATATTCTCTATTCAGGAAATTCCAAAGCAAAACTTTTATACTTTTGTATACATTTCTATGTGTATACAATTTAGTTGAGTGAGCGACACCATACCATCTATGGAGCGTGCGCTAACTCGTTTCTGATTACCTTAATTAGTGTCCTGCCATTACACGAGACGACGCTTTGTTTAAATTGGAGCATGCGAAATGGTCCAATTTGAGCGTGAACTGAAAGCGAGGGCTAATACGTAATAAAGGAGCGAGTTAGTTGAATCACGAGGGTTGGAAATGTCATGATTAAAAGATAGCTATGTTTGTGATTATATAAGTTATAGTCAGAATGCCGACTGACGAGTCTTGTTTTGTTAATTTCTAAATTTAATATATTTTAATGAAAAGTAAAAATTCATTTAAACTAATGTATGTATCTTTTAAAATTTATTTTTCTTGTGTGATAATCAAATTCTTCTAACAACTTTCAAACTTGTTAAATATAATCGTACTACTATCTTTATAGATTTTCTCACTGCGATACTCAATTTATTATCTATTTTGAATACGGAATACTTAGAGAAGGAATCGTTATTTTATTTTTTCGAAGCCGCAGCTACACAGCAAATTGAAAGGTTTCGTAAAACAAATGCACGTAATAAAACTGTTCACATTAAAGCGGGCATGGAGTGTTATAAACAAGAGCGCGGGGCCGATAAGGAGACTCGAGACTGGCTCTAATAGCGGTAGCGAAGTGCTATGAGTTAGTAAACTAACGACCACAACTGCCTGCATCTATATAATGGACAAGCGTTGTTACTAGCGCTGTTCTTTCGTTATATAATTCACTTAGTTCGATTGCAGTCATAACATATTAATTGATATTGTTATTTTTGGTTGCAGAAAATAAATACTGCATTTAATAACCCCTTCAAGCACCGTAACGAGATGTCCTTTATACTTTTGCCAGATAAAATAGTATCTCGGAATTAAATAGAAAAGCGATGTAAAGGTACTTTAAGTCGGAAGCGATCGTAAAATCAGTAAACGGCTATTATGTAAATTCAGATAATAAAATTTTCCATTTGCAGATCACTCTTGAACAAATCAGATATAATTTCAACATTTTATTGGTTACCTTCATAGGAAAATTAAAATCATAAAGCAATATATTTAAAAATGAAGTCCTTTTTTAGGGTCTGATATAAAGCAAAATACCTAATCATGAACATTAAATATTTTCAAAAATATAACAAGTCCGGTTATGACACCTTACTTAGCCTTTAAATAATCTGGTTAATATAAAATTAAACCAAACAGAATAAACAAAACGTTCTTTGAATGTGAACTTATTTTATAGAAATAAACGCTTGCGGGCAATTTCGGATTCGACCTCACAATTCAGCGATTCACATGAAAATATACAAGCATGTAAGAACGTATCCTATCATTAACATTGTCTTTATATTTTAGTGCAGAAATTTTATATAAACTAGCAATACTTGGCTTCATTTTTCTGCAACACTGAATATTTACTTCCCAGCACAACATCGTCATTTTGCAGTTTACAAAATAGCAATGTGTAAAGTTCGGTTTCACAATATTTCAATTTTGGAATAGGATAGTACATATTATAGTATATATTTATAATAAATTCAGTAGTTTTCGTGTACCAGACAAGTTGTCGTATTCTAATAAAAATATTCGGCATCAAAAACCAGTATCAGACAGTGTTTTAATTGCTAGCCCAATCTGGGAAGCAAAAGGGGGGAGTAGCATAGCTTCCTATGGAACCACTAACTGCCTTATCGTCCCCGGAGTCGAAACGGGAACTTGGAACTGCGTCATATAATTTGACTTCGCATTGAACAACCTCAGCAGTTATAATTAGGTCGCATCACATGCGCGGTATGAGCATACTGATGACAATTAATAATTTGAGTTCACCAGCTGTTTAAACTGACTTCGAAGTATGAATTCATTTGTATAATTGGAATTCATTGTCCTCAGTAAATGCTTCTGAAATACATACATAATTCTGCTTTAAATTTATTTCCCTTCTTTAGTTCTTTTAGTTTTACCTAATTAGTTAGGGGTGATAAAGGTGATATACTGGTGCGAATTAAATATTCACAAATAAACAGTTATATCAACTGGAAATCCCTTAAAGGGCTTTAATCATCAACGCAATTGAGTGAACGCCCGCTTAGGGGACAGTGCGACCCTCCACGTTAATTCGCAAAATTACATCCAGTAACTGTGTTTGCTTCCCGTTTTATTAATCTTTTAAAGGCCAGACGCAAATATGACTTGGAAATTGACAATTTAGTAAGCCACTATTTCAATTTGCTTGCTGTATAAGGGTATGACATCCCTTTACTGGCTGGCGTCTGCTATCGTTGCACTGATATTGGAATTACGACTTAATTTTAGTTTGCATAGTGTATATTCACATTTCATGTTTATTCTCAAGCAAAATATTACTAAAGAGATTATATCAGTTTCTCTGAAAAGTGTATAAAAACATAAAAAAGTATGAAATGTCAAGTCAATATAAATTAATTTAATGGACGGATACGATCCAAAGAAAAACAGCACTTCGGTGAACAAGTGGAACTTGAAGTGGAAAAGGAAGGAAGTTGTGGCGCAAAAAAATTATATCAAAAAAAAAGTAATTCCTAACCCGTCAAACATTTCATAAACAACTTCCGTCGTTATATCAACACTAGTGGAGTTGGAATCAATTGGAACTGATTTTTATGTACCAAAGACAGCTGTAGGGCAAATACTTTATATGGTTTTGTGTCCCCTTCGAACACAACTACAACTGGTCCGCAAACATCGCAAACTAATAGCCAGTCATCAACGAAGAGGCCGAGTAAATATTGCTACGGGATTTTAAGGCGCTCTTGTAAATTGCTTCAACAATAAGAAAATAATGTTCTATACTTTACGAAACAACATTTTCTTTAATAATAGTCGAACTGTAACTGTACTAGAAGCTTTGAAATCTGGTGTATTAAATTTTGAAATAGCGTAAGAACTTAAATGTTTGTAGGGATTTGAATCAAATGTTTAAATGAAAATAAAATATTTCATTTATTTTTTGCTTTTTTTTTAGTTAAATCAAGTTGACTATACTACAACTACGACTATATTAAAACACGATTGTGATGATTCCCTTGAATTCAATATTGTAAACAGGTCTGAAATCAAAGGTAAGATAAGGTAGGGTATTTTATTCTGTCCCATCCCATTATTCAGGATGTTGCATTAAAAGATCACAAACACAGCAAAGTAACGGAATAGTGAATAATATGAATAGGAAAGAAGTTGTCGTGGAAGCATCTGGTTCAGCACAAACATACCTATATAATATTGCAACGTAATCAATCTTGCAAATCGAGCGTAGCATCGCTTTGATGGATATGCAAATACTTATAGATTAATAATTTGCTCTTTGATGCGAAAGCTCTAACATATTTCACTGCTACCTATATATATATGAACAAATATGAAAATAAATAAATTCAAAAAATCCTTCTGAATTTGATATGTTAATAGAATACATATTCAGTGGTAACATAAAACATGTCAAAGTTAAAAAATAACTAAAATTAACGAAAGCTAGTTAGTAAAGAGAAATATATTTCTACAAACTAAATTATTAATTATCACTAAGGAAAACTTATACCGTATTTAACTTGTATATTTATAAACAGTATACAAATATTTATACGACAAAGCTGAACTCAGGTTCTAAATATGCTAATATTTCATTGCTCATTGCAATCCTTTGCTTTTGCTTATGGGATATCACAATGCAAACAAGTCGAGAGTTAAATGTAGGATATTTAAATAATATTTACAATCACAATGTAAAATTGTTTGGGGCGTCGAGGAGATAAGTATCTTTATAACACGAGAGAAAACAGCTACATACATGTATATACATATATAATATTATATAACGAGATATAAAATTTATATAACATAATAAATTTTATTACTTGCAACAACAATAACTATTGCAATTTTATTTTTGGTTTCGATAATTACTTATCAAGAACCCTTTCACGTTTCATCATTTATTGTATCTTTCTCCCAGACTTTCTATCTTTTATTTCCATTTCTATCTATTACTTTAATTTTGTCTAACCTTTTTTCTTTTTAACATCCAGGTCGTATATTTCGTATTCTGGGAATGTAATCAGTCTAACAAAGCATAATCTAATATTTCTTCAATTTATTAGACATTGTATTGATCACGTCGAGTCATTTACTTATAAATGGTAAAGTTCACCTATACAGTTGTTTATATAAAGTCTAACAACCACAAATTTTAATATTAATAGAGTAGAAGTTTTATAAAGTATTATAATTTTATGTACTGATAAAGGAAACGATAAAATTTTAAGCTAGTCTTGGAGCAGCCTGTATATATGTAGTTCACCTTTATTGTATGTAGTCAATTCAAAGTATCTAGTTACGAGTTTTACCACTTTTGTCACATAAAATTGGCATTGAGCAATTTGTTAGATGAGTTAGAGAGCTCATCTCTTCAACCCTCTCCCTAATAAATCATATCTGTAGGATGACAACGCTTCTGTATCTATGATTCAAGATCTGTACTGAAACTAAACTTATTTAGACATATAATTTAATCCTTCTCTAATATAATAGTTGATATTTTTAAAACACCTTTGTATTACGCACAATACAACAAAACAATTTACATTTAAGCATCGTAATACACTTATGTAAAATGTGTGTATTGACATTTCTATATAACTCAAATATTATATGTACATATAAATATGTACATATGTCCATTTACATTATTATCTCTACAATACAACCTGCGTTCATTTATCTGTTCCTTTATCTGGCCCTAACGATATCTGGGAAATATTGCTTGAAGGAGATAAGACTTTTGTATGGAACGAGTGTTTCGTTATTTATTTTATAGTATAACATTTTAACTTTTATAAGAATTTATTTTATAAGGAGATGAAGGAGATGTTGGGAATAGGGAGAGGACAACCGGGTCTCTCACGCATGTGATACTTCCCAAGTCGAGCCAGCCCATGTTCGAGTTGTAATTACATGAACAGACCTAGGCTATACCACCTGTACAAAAAAAAAATAGTTCATTGATAATAAAACTCACCTAATCCGATTAGCGACAAGCAGTTCAGCTATGTCTCTTCCAAGTCTAGAATACAAGGACTCCGCTATAACTAGGACTTTAGCGTCTATGCGGAGTCGAGCATCTGAGCGATGGTCGCGCGCTGTTTGCTGCTGGGATGCCAGAAGTGAGCATTGTGACAACGGTCGCGGTACACGATCGCGCCACACTAAACTAAAAATATATAATACATTATTATATTAATACAATTGTTAGTCCATCTAGGTTATATTATAACAGTAGTTATAGACAATTACAACAGAAACTTGAATTCGATTGCTATTTATTATAAATAAATTTACTTAATTTATTATAGACTTTCACGTGTTATTTACAAATAAAAAACACTATGGAGACACGCACAGTTATACAATTTATTGTCCTGAGTGTTCTAAATTATATTATCCATGTAAACATGAATAATATAATTTAAGTACTTACTAGTTTATAAGAAGGATATGAATAAAAAAAGTTAGTAAAATTATTGATTATGATGCCTATAACGACGAAATGAAAATTCATACAAGAAAATGTTAACATGAAATCCTTGATACTACAAAAGAAATAAGCATTACAACCTTGTTGTGATGAATATTTTTATATACACATTTTAACATAATCCTGTTTCTCATATAAATTCATTGAAGTACGTCCTGAATAAAACTAAAATGAAATCTGAGTAAACTAGACGCGATTATTGATTCTCATTGAGACCTTTTTGGACGGTGGACTTAAATATACAAAATGTTGAAGAAAATAAACGCCTTTTAATAAAACAGTATACAAGTAAAATAGTGTTTTGTAGGAGTAATTTACCGCTGGCTCGGTTATTATGGTCGAAATTCATAGGCTGGTGTATGAATTCCTCGTATCAAATTTATGTTAACGAAGAAAATTTTACACATAACATTTTTATATTAGCATTCCTTTAACGATAATGGAAAATCATAATCAAACATAGCTTTACGGAATTTCTGTGTTTAAATAACACACCGTTTAATATTTATCTTAGCCGCTTATGAATATAAAAGATTGTTAAATGAATTCAAAACTTCTTAAATTAATTAGTGCGATGTAAGACCGTAGAATTTTGATGAAAATCAATCAAGTTAGCAAAGTTGCAGCTGCGTTTTAAGTTCAGAGCCACATCAAAGCGCTATTAAGCTTTATCTCAACAGCGTGAGAATAAATAAAAGGCGAAATTTGTGGGGAAAAAATTATACTTAGGCACGGATACTAGGTAGCCGAGTTGCCTTCTGGTTTTAATGAAAGCCACGCCCTTTCCGACCGAGCAGAAGTTTAACGAACAGCTGAAAAGAATAGGCAAGGCGAGTATCTAATATCCAATGAAAACGACTTCGATGTGAGACGATATTATAACACCTACCAATGGCTTCATATTTGAAACATTTCTTTCAACTTCAGCATGACACATTATGTTATTTAATTTATTTTAGTATTGATTTTAAAATATATTATGAAATTATTTAATAAACTAAAACGGTGAATATTTAAGAATCGTCAGATTTATATGCGTTAGCGAAGCAGCTTACATTAATTAGCCAAAACTCAAGTTTGGCTATAAATTTACGGAAGTCGGGAAAACTTGCCGCCCTTGCCGCTCATCGTGGCGGTGTAAATTTAAGCCGATAAAATAAAATATTATCGTCCCGGCTACACGACATCCGCCCTAATTACATAAAATCACGTTATAAATTACTCTGAAATATTCGACTCCTCTTCTAATTTGAAAGTGAAAAGCTTCCAAACAATGGACGACAAGAACGCCTTGTAAAAAGTTAAACGCTTTTAATTCTTATCAAACCAATTTTACGCCTAAAATTCTTATTTGTATCTTAAATTCGACACTGTCGAATCATAAGTTATATAAACTGGTTATATTGTATTTACGTTAGAGAACATAAACATATCTGAGTCCATAGAGTTTTGAACACAGCCATATAGTTATATAACGTCCGACCCGTGTCTCCAAACGCAAATATATATTCAAATACATAATGGGATAAAAGATTTTACCGACCGTCACGCAACTTAACAATAGAAAGGAAAGTCCACAACTGTCGGAGGAACTAAGACGAAAATAAAGATATTTAGAAATTTCGTCGGCAACGCTTTTATTACCTATTTTGATATACATATACCAATAAATTTTCTACTACTCTTTCGATGTGTGAGTCATCCGGAATATCATTATAAATATATGTATAAATTTACAATTTCTAAAATAAAAATATGTAATAAATAGTTGCAATAAGAAATTGAAACCTAATATAAACTTTCAATATAAATTCAAATATATAGGAAATATTCGCGGTAGTATTAGTATTATTACTAAAAAATATTTGACAGATAGTTCAAAAACAAGACGTAACACAAGAATAAAATGTGTGGCAATCTTTTTAAAATAAAATATAACAAAAAACGAAATATACTGTTTAATTTTGTCATACCATACAAGTCCAGAGAGAAGATGTAAGAACAAGTTAAGATTAACAAACATGCAAGTTTATCTGTCCTTAGTTAGTAACGATGGCATCGAGTATCTAGAAGTTTCTTATACAGTTCGCTATGTTACGAAACTACCCAAATTCTGCCATGTCGGTATAACTTAAACCATAAAGTTAACACCGGGGTCCTTCATTACGTTGATAACAACGGTAAATAGTTATTAGTTTTTAAACTAGATAATACGTTCAATCATGAAATACCAGTATCCGGATAACATTTTAAAGCAATAAGCATTAATTGCGGTAAGCCATCATTACTAGCTGAGCTCTAAAACGCTCTGAAATAAGCAAGATAAGTTATGATCGGTGGGCTCGTTGGAATGGATGCTGAGTGGATGTATTAACGTTGAGTGCGTTAAATTGATGTAAATTCGGTTCAAACTAATGTTACTATCAAAACAATGGTTCACTAATCCCAATACACCAGGAGGTGACCGCGCGAGATAATTTCGTATTATTAATTTTCCCGACACAACGTGTTTACTTCCGATGGTTAGCAAGTAAATTGGATTTTGTGCAAATGACGCATATTTCGGCTAGAGCAATTAATTATGTTCGAGCATGTTTTACGACTTTCAAATTTAAATTTTAATAACGAATTCATGATTTAAATTAAAAACGACATATGTGTCGATAAAAACTTTACAACACGTAGTAATTCATGACTCAGCTTTTTAAAATATGATAAATTTATGTTAAGCAGAATTAAAATGTATGGAAATGTGAACCCAAAAAAACATAATAATCTTTGCAGATATTAAATTAAATTAAATTCAAATATACGAGATGCTCTGTTTAAAGCCACGTTAACATGAATTAAGTCTGATAAGGTGGAACATGAGAAGTAGTTTCGTTGTTACGTAAGTACGAACCTCAGGTACAATATCTATTCAAAGTTAGCTACCCTAGTTAAAGTTACCACACACTCACCTTGTTATCGGTGCCGTCACGTAGTATGTATAGAAAAATATTGTGAGTATTGATAGCAGCATAACGCCGGCTACACACTTCCTAACATTGATGTGGCTGGCTAGCCATAAACAGCAGCGCGGTGTAGCAGTTTTATGAGGATGCATGTAGTCGCCGCACTCCAACAGCTGAGCACGCGACCCGCGTCCCTCGCCCGCCATTTCAAATTTACACACTATATTACTATATACACAACACAATAACACTTAGGCCTCTAAATGTTCACTGTACAATCTCTATCTCGGGACTCTAATGGCTGAGTTTGTCCTTGGTGGTGATTTCTGTCTCCACTTGCCGTGCTTCCACATTTCATAGTATCGAGGAGGGGTGAGTACGCGTGGTTGCGCTGGGCTGTATGCTTTGGCACCTCTGACGGCCATCTCGTGCCGACAAACGTGTCCGTCGCCCGTTTAAAATGGCCGCCGACGCATATTTGCGGGTTATGCTCATCACGGCGACGGCGTGCGGTCCCTGTGTCAGAGATCACAGCATCCGCCCTTCGCAGCTAACAGCAACCTCTGGCAGTCTCATTAGTTTCAGCTGAAACAAAAAGAAAGTTAATGATTTCTTACCACCTGTACTTGTAAACTAAACATTTATATCATAATTGTATGAACTTGATTAGAGATATAAGATATTAATTTTATAAAACATTAATTTGTGAAGTATAAATACATATATAACATTTAAGTAACTTATTTTGAAAAGTTAAAAAAAAATCCGAATTAATAGTCTATATTAAAACCAAAAAAAACTATCATATTAACCGCATTTTAATATGTAGTAAGAATAATTTTTAAACCACAAACAAGTTATGGTCGGGAGAAGACACCAGCGAAGTTAGCCTAGTCTAAATTTAAATAATATATGAAATAGCGATACAAAATAATTTTGACATAGAATCCTATTAATATTTAAAATGGGTCCAAATAATATTAGGATTGTGGTTGGGATATATTGAACAATGATTTACAAAGAGCACATAAAACTAATAGAATCACAACACTAGCTGTCACAAATAATTTCTGAGACACTTTCAGTTTATTGAGGCGATACAAAATTTACAATGCCAATACAAATCGAATTCTGCAAATTAAATTTTCCTGGCATCGATTGCAAAAAGATCCATATAGGAAGTGCGGTCACAATATGCGCATATTATAATTGGTATCCGTGGGGATCCACGTATCCGACGGCTCGTGAATATTCCGACGGTTGGGGTTTTCTGTAAATCCAACCTTCGCATTATTTGAATGAAGGATCCTCACATTGAAACACTTCTTTGCACTGAAACAAATTCGTTCAATCGTAAAATTGAACTGGCGACCCTCAACATTCTGAATTAAATTTGACGAAAAATTTAAAGTCATTAATGACGCTAATCTTACAATTTGACAGTTTTCATCAGTACACATTTCAAGGGAACTATATCTTTCATTAATTTGTAGTGAAAGCAAAGACGAAATAAAATAAAAATTGAAAATATGAACGAATTAAATTCAAAACGTATTTTTAAATTTTGTATGATTTGTTTACCAAAATTTAAATATACAGTACCTATGTTGTTATTGTTGCTTTTAATGTTAGTAAAATATAATTCAACTAACAAAAATAAAAATTAATAGCGGAGTAATTAAATCATTTAGATACGAGCAAGTTGTATCAATCAATTATAAGAATGTCACAATCAATTGTAGGAATTAAAAGTTCAAAGCTGTGTATTTTTATTTAGTTTAATGATATAAGTTGAAATATATTCACATTGCTCCATTTGATATCTAAAAGGAAGGTTTGAGAGCTCGTTCAATAGCGGTGGATGCGGAACGCGCTTAGAATCCGTGATCGTACGACCCTTTGAATATTAACTAACTGATGACCCGCTTGTAACCAGGCCATGTCTACTGAAGGTTAATTCTAAACACTAATGCACCGAATTTAAATATATCTAAATGTAAATTTAAACATTAGAGTTATTCACAATGAAGAAAATGGGATGCAAGACATCTAAAACAATGGAACATATAACTCACTGAAAAATATCACTAGGAATTACTTCAAAGAATTATTTCACGGTACTCGGTTGGTACGAGAGGAGCAATTAAAGTTCTTAATTAAACTGGGGAAAAAAAGGCGAGCCTCTGTTGATGTCGGTTATAGAAGGCGAGGCGATAAGAGTCTTGAAAAAGAAGCGCCGGGAAGCCAAGAGACTATAGCACAATGGATGTGTCATCACGGCCAAAGGAGTACTTGGTGAGTAAAAAAACTGAAAGATTAAAAACGCCTCGTTCATTTTCACAACAGAAGACTTACAACAACGAAATATATTAAACCTAAAAAAAAATGTCTTTACTATAACACCTAATAACTTTTATATAGCTTTCTGTCTTAATATGGGAACTTCGTGTCTGAGCTTTTATTATTGAATCAATGATTTCCTCGTAGTTTTCCAAGTCCGTGTGTATGACGTGTAACGTTATTTCATAGTGAGACAATACCCTCGCGTCTTCCCAACTTATTATAAGTTCGCCTGTTTGCCGCACCTCGTCTTCGTCGAAAGGTTCGGAAATCCGCATTATACGGTTACTGTTAACACGAAACTTCCATACGGCGGAGATTTTCATATTATATTAAATATTACATTGCTATTTATTTTTCAGTAGTAATACTTTGGTGACGGAAAAGTTATATAAAATGGATAATTATATAAAGAAGTTGATTGTAATATCAACAATTATATTCTCGCGTGACGCTAAATTCTACTTAAATATTCTATTTGATAATTTTATAACTCTAATCAATAATAACAATCTCTAAATTACAAACGAAATTTTATATTAAATTAAGTTTTGAAAGTACCTTTTACGTAACAAAACTCGTGAGACGTCTAAAGTATGGTAATACCTTCGGAAACTTGATATTCCTTTTAGGAACTGATAATAATATATAGAAGCTATTATAGTGAATTCACACGTTTCGGTAAACCAGATATTCGGAATAAAAGTAAATAAGGAGATAAAACGTGAAGAGATATGAAATTTAAAAGATATATTAGGTTTTCTATTTCCAAATATATTTGACGCAATTAAATTTGATAAAGTTGAATCCTACTGAGTGAACTTTTACGTACTTGCTCAAACAACTTCTAGAATCCGTATAAGGAATCGGATATTAGTTAGTACTTATTCAACTTCTAGATTCATTCATTCAAATTTTAGATTTTGATATTGTTAATTAGTTTATATGTTACTGTTAAAATATCAAAAAAATTATCGTTTACAAACACATAATATAAAAGACTAAGTGAAATAGAATTTAAAGCCTTTTAATAAATACGAATGGTTTTTATGATAATCTTCATTTCGTCTGTAATTAACCATTAATAAACCGACTTGAAACTAATTTAGTTCGTTGGCTTGAACTTTTATACGCGAAGATAGACAATTTGTGATATTTATTAAAACAAAATAACTAAGAAAATTATAAAATATTTAACATATCCAAAATTAATTTCATTTCAAAAATAATGTCGAAACAATAAGAATATACCATTGAAACATGATTAGTCAAAAGAATTTTATAATAACCTATGAATGGTAATGCGGAAAACTACGATTTCTTAGCACAGATTCTGCAGTTTAATCTTAAAACTAAATTCTCCTCTACTTATTATAAAAGTTAGTAAAAGAATAATTAATGTGAAATTAAAGTTTTTTTTAATTGTATAACAAGTATTTAAATTGAAAGAGATAATATTAAAAGTACTTTAAAAAATTTAGTCTCTTATATAATATCCTATAATAAATGATTAAAGCCATCCATGTCATATGCAAGAACATTTGGATATGAAAAAATCATAGTACTAATTATAATTACCGAATAAAGATATATGCAGTAAGGTAGTAAAAGGAAACAGGTATTCGCAATATAGCATCAATCAAATAACATGATCGCAGTTAGGAATTCCAAATTAAACTTCAACATAGGCAACGATACCCCATTCGTTGTTCAATAGAAGTTGCATCAAACAGGTATCTTCAATTACCCTGTACATTGGAGAAGTATAGATCGATACTAATGTTCAACGTTGCCTATATACATACATAGTTAAAGCGCACAAATAAATCACATGTGAGAGTAGAAATGAAGGTACGTTTGTACGCTACCAATTTTAAAACGTTGAATTTTTCTTCAAACTTTGAAACAATTTTTGCATATAAAAGAAAATAATTCATGATAGTTCTCTCATATTAAGCATACTAAAAATGTTTCCACATTGTCTACTCTTTAGCAACTGTGTCGTCTTTGTTGTGGAATTCTTTTTGGTAGCACTGACTCACCAAGGGAATTTCTATTTCAAAGCCGGAATTTTGCTTTATTTATAAAAGCTAAATGCTTGTTTACCTTAAATTATGTTAGTAGCGTTGAGTTTACACGATTACGGTAAATTTATGCAAGACATTATCTAAGGACAGAGCCGTTGCACAACGCCTTCAATGTCCGAACTCCGCATCGCCGTCTCCTTTATGAAACCAGTCAGTATGATATATGATCTTATACTGTCAAGTTGCTTCCTAGAACGGAGTCACATTTGCATTACTTATAGTATTAGTAATAGCAGACATCCATCATACATGAAATCTGATATGATATGAATTAAACGGACAAAAAGCTTTATATAAATGTGTATGGATATAATTTAGTTCTGAGTATCAAGTTAAATCAGACTACATGATGGTTTTTGTTAAGACGTTATGATACTTTATATGTATGAATGTTCACTTACAAATAAATATAGTTGTCCTATACAGTTCTATAAATAAATTTAGGTGTGATAAAAAAGAAGCTGTAGATAACAAAGCACTCAGTATATATTCATTTTATCCTCTCTAAGTTACTTAAATTCAAAATATGCTTGCACACCCATATAGAATATGTATAAATATCTTTTTATATTTATGATTATAATATAAGAATGGCTCTTAAAGGCCGCGGCCGCGATAATCCTCACGGCCATTAGGCTGGACCACGCTTGCAAATCGTCCGCATATTTTGGCCGAAGATTAATTGTTCTCGAATATCATCTATCACGGTGATGCCGTCACGCTACTGTTGTGCGTGAGACGTTTTATTCGAAACACAAAACGAGAAGGGGATGCAAAATATGATTTTTGGACGGCCATTACAAAGCGCACGGAATGATACTGGTATGGATTAAAATTTCGACTACGAAACAAATGTTCTTCTGTAATTCCATTACAGTTATGTAACATTGCCATATTTTGTTTAATAAATTCACGAAATTTTGATCGAATGAAAATATTAATTTAAATTGCATTTTAGTGTGTGTCATTTAAAATATAAAAAGATAGATGTTGAAAGAATTGAGTTTGTTTTTTTTTTAAAGGCAGTAAAAAGCATGCCTACTTGGTTTAGACTAATATTATCTGTCGAAGGCTATTTTCAATATAACCATACTAGAAATCCCAAAAAAATATATCTTTACTGTATGTATCAACTAAAAAGTATACATGCTTAGATTTTCCACGAATAATTATCATTTTTATATAATAAAATATTCGATTTTACTGAAAGACGTTGATTACAATTTTTAATTATTTTAACCCAACGTTTCGATTACTTTACGGTGGTAGTGATTACAGGAAGACAAAATATATTCGTTTCATTACTGAAAATCTATCAAGAGTTTAAAATATATTATATCAAAAATGGCTACTAACAGAAGAAATTGTAGTTTTATTTTAAAGTTTTTTAATGTCACGTGGATTTTATACAATTAAAAAATTATGTAAATATTGTCACACTACAAGCTAAGTACGTTTTGTTGAAAACGAATTTTATAACAACCACTCCATCAAACAGATTGACTTTCATATGGAAAAATATTAAGATCTATTACCAAAACATACAAAAAATAATAATTAAAAAGTAATTTCTTCATTTTAAAATTTATGACAAAAGCTTTCGTATATTCGAGAATGAAATATTACTCTGACGAAATAGACTACGTAGTCTTAAAGTAAATAGTTTTGTATCGACGGCTGTGCCTATATAAATAATGACGTCACCCGTTAACCGAAAAAAAAATTATATATATGTATATGAAGTTATAACCCAAATTTCACAGTCAATGCCCCACAAAGCAGCCAGTATTACTTTAATGTTATATATATGTTTTCAGTAATTAAAGCAATGTCCATATTAATACTTACGAAATTAACTTTAATTATGAGTTTATTGGCTTTAAGCTTTATCGTTAATCTTACTTTTATTTTAATTACATTTTCAAACACATGAGGGTTGAGAACCCATCCATCGAACTTATAAGAACAAAATGGTAAAGGCTTTTTAAACTTATAAAGTATTTTCCTTGTAAAATTAAATAGCCCTAATGTTTTAAAATACTTATCTTATAATATTAAATTTTCACTAAGCATCACTCCTAATTAATTAGTGTTGTTACTGAAATTATTTTAAATACAATAATTTATCTTACAACAAAAATTACTTAATATTGTTAAGCAACTTGTTATTTTACAAAATTTCCGCTCTTAATATACTTTAAAAAGTATTTCAAATTCTAATTTCTTAGACAAAATTAGGGCGATTACAGACTCCCCCAATGATAAATCCTTAGTTAAAAACATCCCCCGGCAAGTTTATTGCGCAGCGGACAGGAACAAATGGAGTCAATCTTTTTTTGTACGAAATGGAAAAACCGAAACTGCTACATTTTCAACGTGTAAAGTTCGATATCAATCAAGTCGACCTTTTTCAATAAACCAACCACAGAGTTCCCCAAAGCAATTTTTCAAGTAATTTGACTCTTAGATATTGCGATTACTGGTGTCATTTTGTATCGACTCTAAGTTATTATTTCAACATTTCAATCGTACCTGTAATATTCTCCAACATTTTGAAAGACTTTTATTGCCGCTTCGTCCTACTTTGTGCACATAAGAATATGAAAAGGGACAACCCATGCACAAATACCTTCAAAATCATGGCTAGATACTTCGTGCAAGTTAACTTTATTTTCAATTATACCTTTTTCATCAAAACTAAAATTAACACTGAAGAAGACGTTATATGTATATATTTGACAATGGTTTTCACGTAAGTCTTGTAACATAACAAAAATAATATAATGAGTTGTTGATTTACAAAGGTTGGCCATATTTTTGATTAAATTTTCCGATGGATCAATATAATCAAATCGTGCCCGATAGTAATCATGTAATACGTAACTAATATTATAAATTATACGAATGTATTCAGCATAAGTTTATATGAATCATATTAGAATAGGACAGAACATTCATGTTGTAATTTTATTATAAATCATAATTGTTTTGTACCACATTCGTACTATCGAATAACACGGTATTTACTTTTAGAAGTACATCTAGTTTTAAAAATTTCACGTATCGGAATTTGTCAAAACTTGCCAAGATTACTTGGAAATAATTAACAAATTAATTCATTGACATTCGAGTCATACAAAATAGTTTACTGAATTGGTCATAGGAAGCCTTCCCCGCCTCCTCAGTTTGCA